TACATCAGTCCCATAGGATTTGTTTTCTACTTTTGAAGCTGGGGAGGCTTTAGCATTTTCAATATGTTTTATTTCTCCAACAGTATTTACCATAGCTTCTGTCTGTCAGGAATCACCTCAATCTTTAGTTTCCTTTTAAGAGAGGCTTTGCATGCTCTTTGGCAAGAATTCTAACTTGAGCGCTATTGAGTAATCATCATAACCATATGCAAAAACTTGCAGAAGACATTTGCCCACTTGTTCTTGTGCTGCTTGTTCCTGCCATTTATGAACTTCGAATCCTCTTGACAAACTACTTCAGGGATAGGCAATCTGCATCCCTCTAGATGTTGTTGTACTCCAACTCCCATCATTCCTGGGTCAGGTTGATGGGAGCTGGAGTCCCCAAAAAATCTGGAGGGTCACATGTTCCCCACCTATAGCCTACTTTCAGCAATTTCTCTTCAGCATATTTCAATTTAACTTCTTCCATCAGCTCAAAAAGCCAAAATGCCACATGACCTATTAGAAAAACAAGTAAGTAAATCAATACCAAATAACCTGCCAATATTCTAAAACTGGGATTGCTGTCCAAAGCAGTTTGTGCTATAGTACAGATATCTACCATTCAAAACAACAACAACGAAACTATTAACTCACTGGTCATGTCCAAGCTCCTAGGACAGGCCGGATGCTGTTGTTGATGATAAGCAGTCCTGTTTACAATGGTTTCCTTGAAAAAGAGATGAGTTAATATCTTTTTCAAACATAATGACAACTGATGACCCATCAATATTAATTATTAGTCAAGTGTTTTGGAACTTCTCTATGGTGGAGGCGTCAGCAACTGGTCCCTGATCAGTTCTGTACTCAAGCTGCCAAACCTTGATTGAGAAGAGACTCTAATATTGTTTTATGGATGAGATAAATCTGAGATAGTTTGGATGCAAGCACACATTTGGGTCTTGGACTTCTTATTTATAGATTTATTTGAACCTTGGTCTCCTGGGTCTTAGTCCAACACTCTAACCACTACACCACACCAGCTCACCTTCAGTTTTTGGTTGTGTGTGTCTAATTCACAGAAACTTTGCTTCTGGGACTTCTTTGTTCATGCTGATGTATTTGCTTTGGAAATGTGAGGTTCCCTCTAGTCCACCAACAGTGCCCATCATTTTACTTTTGCTCCATCCCTTCTAGAACCTTTGAATTTGCAAGCCAGATGGACATACATTCCCAGTTTGATTTTGTCTGGACCCAAACAGCTTTGCTGGAATCATGATAAGATGCAGAATAGTGACTGGGATCCAAGAACTACTTCAGTTTGTATACAAAAAGGCTCAGACACACCCAGTGGGATTTTGTTGGGATATTTCCGTTCCACCTTAAAAGGGAGCAGGCTTTGTGAGTCACAGAGTCTGCGCATTTCCTGTTCACAGGAAGTTTATGTTTTCTATTGCTTTCGTTTCTCTCTCTGTGTCAGAGACACTGAAGCAGGCAGTCATGTTTTTCTTTGTTCTGATCAACGCAGAATAAAACTTGCAAATAATGCTCTCTTGCGTGCAACTTTCGCTGTGCATTATCTGCTGATAGAGAGTGTGCATCGGCTCTAGAATGTGGCAGGCTATTTCTGGAGCTCATGTCGCTAATTGCTGATACTGCGTGACTACGGGAGATCGACGGACGTCCGGCAGCCGGCTTGGGGGCCGTGATGGACTTTATCTCCCTGGCAGTATCCCAACAGATTTTTGCTCTTGGAATTAGCTCTTCCATTGCTTTACTTTTGATGATGACCAAATCTCCAGAAGACCTCACTCAGCACTTCAATTATATGTCTAAATACAAACTCAAACCTACATCTCTCTCTCTCTCCCTCTCTCTCTCTCTATATATACCCAGTTTAATAGAATACCCTGCTATTTCAAAACTACAAATCATCATAGTGAAATCAACAGGAAAGGAACCTCTAGTGAAACTTAATCATCATAATTGTCTCAGTTATAAAAATGATTTTTCTTTGCAAGCATTCTGGGACATCGTTAAAGCATCCTTGAAAAATAATCCAACTGAAAATTAAAACATTTATCAGCTATGAATAAACTATATTATTTAAATATTGTTTAGAATTGTTGTAGAGTATACCTGTAATTCATCAAGCAAGTGCTTTAAAATATGTTAGATTACAGCACCTTACTCCCCTTATGAGAGTGTACTTGAATTGGTTTGATTAGTTACACCTCCAATTATACAGTCCACAGCAATCAACCAAAATGAACCACTTGTGTAGTTACTTAATAAGTGCACAAGCTGAAATTCCTCTCCCAATCTCCCCACACTCCCACCAAAAATATTGCATACTATATCTAACTTAGGATACTAGTGTGTACAGGTATAAAGTTTGTGTGATCTAGTAAATGCTGCCCGCATGCAAGCAAGGTTCTTCTGAGATCCACACGCATAATTCCTGCCTGTCTGCTTCCCCATTTACTTCAACAGAACAGCTCCCTTTGAGCATCCAAAGCTATATCCGTCATTCAAGTGTGTTGAAAGACCTAAGTAAGCAGAGGGAATTTCAGTGTTCACCACAGAGATAACTCCTGGCAGTGAAACACTACATCAGAATGAATGCCAATATGATTTTCAAATGCCTGCTTTAAAAAAACTCTTAAGACCGCAAACTTATACTTGTAGGGAGAAAGCTCCATGGAACACAGTGGAACTTCAAGGTAAAGGTAAAGGGACCCCTGATCATTAGGTCCAGTCATGACCGACTCTGGGGTTGCGGCGCTCATATCGCTTTATTGGCTGAGGGAGCCGGCGTACAGCTTCCGGGTCATGTGGCCAGCATGACTAAGAGGCTTCTGGCGAACCAGAGCAGCACACGGAAACGCCGTTTACCTTCCCGCTGGAGCGGTACCTATTTATCTACTTGCACTTTGATGTGCTTTTGAACTGCTAGGTTGGCAGGAGCAGGGACCGAGCAACAGGAGCTTACGGGGATTCGAACCGCCAACCATCTGATCAGCAAGTCCTAGGCTCTTACTTTTGAGTAAACATGTTCAGAATTAAGGGAAGGCCCATAGATAGCTCAGTGGTACCACTCTACTCTATAGGTAGAGGTTGGAAAGACTCCTGTCTGAAACTCTGGCAGGCCTCAGCCAATCAGTGTAGCCCAGGGTTTCTCCAGCAGCTTTTGGATTACAACTCCCAACATCCATAGCTAGCAGAAGCAGTGGTCAGGGACACTGGTGGAGGAAAGGGGGGCAGGGTGAGTGCACCGTCCCAGCACCATCGGGGAGGGGGATACCATTGCGGCCGCTCCCCCTGACATGCGCCGCGCACCCCCCACTACACCAGGCGCCACGTCCCCACAGACACGCCCCACGCCCGTGGGATGCACGACACGTCCCTGGGATACGCGCCAGCCACACCCCCATCTGCTCTCCCCCCCCCCCACGGTGCCGGAGTATGCAGCTTCCCCCTTGGTCAGGGATGATGGGAGTTGCAGTCCAAAAACAGCTGGAGACCCAAGTTTGGGAAACCCCGGTGTAGCCAATACTGACAGAGATGAGCCAATAGTCTAACTTGGTATAAGCCAGCTTTCTCTGAATTATCCTGTTAAACAGGGTTCTTTTCTTGGGGGGCGGGGAATGAATGACACAATTCAGAAAGCAACACATGATTGCTTATATTTAATCCTAATGATTTAGAAAGGCAATACAAGAGATATGAGCACTTAGATAATGATCTTAGATTATATTTTAACAGTTCAAAACCACCAGTTTGAGCTGTGAAACATTGACTATCCACCTTTAAAAATTTCCAGTGAAGTCAGAATGTAACACCCTGCAGTGCTAGTAAAACTGTACAACAATACAGCACTGGAAGTATGCCATCTTACTGAAGCAGCAGCTTTTTATATTTAAATGTGTGTTTGTTACGTGCAAAAACAAGAAGTAGCTTACAGTATTTTACCATTAATTTTACTTAAAAGGGCATTGCTTGCAGTCACTGAAAACTCCTAATGTTGTTATTACATATGACTGTCCAAGACATGCTGTGGAAAACAGAGAAGTTTTATTTTATTCCACTAGAGGGTGGCCTCCCAAAAGCTGGGCTATATCTGTGAATGTGTACAGTAAATCCAACCCTTTCTCAGATTTGACCTGTTGATTACCAAAACTTCTTGGGGAACTTGCAAGCAATATTTTGCAATCCGACTACTTTTAGAAGTAACCCAATGCAGATTTGTATTTTGCACTAAGAATATATTTTTTAGAGCCCGTCCTAAATTTCTGCAAATTTTCAGACTAGGTTTCTGATAGGTTACTTTGCCTAGAAATTGAGAAAAAGCATGAAACAAACTAAAGAAGAAGAAAAACCGCACAAAAAACCCCAGCTGATTTACAGCTGTTCAATGAACTGTACACATAAGGAGGAGAAACAAAACTCGCCATTTCTGTGGGTACCTATCTGCTTACTAATTCTGCCGATTCTCTGGCTGCTTGCTTAGTGACTCCATATTTGGAAATGAGCAAAGATGGATTTGGCTGCCAGTCAGTAGGAAGCAAAAACCTAGGTATTAAAAGGGGGGGGTAGAACATATGGAAACTGCAATACAGTGCAAGGTGTTGCAAGTAGATCACAACTCTGCAAAAAGAGAGAGAGAGAGAAATGCTTTTTCATTTACTAATGAGCTCGCATAGCCTGAGAAGGGATTTACCTAGTTTGGATCATGCTCTTTGAACGCTCTCTCAGTCCTTGCCCTAAACCCATTAAATACAGCCCAGCGCATCCAATCATGCCTCTTCCTTTGGTGTCTGGGAAAAGAATGCCGAGAAGCCGAGAATGGGTCTCTTCCCCCGCTTATTTGTACCCTAAGCAGCAATGTCATCTAACAGACAGGTTGCCTCCACCAACCAGACCCCAGCAGCTACGTCTTGGCACTCTCCGGCTATTGGCTGCTCTCTGGGGAGTGGAGGGTATTCAGTTATTAATGACTGCTGAGCAGGCAGCACCATGTCAGTGTGACAACTGATCGGGTGAACGATGCACCAGTAACCACCATGGAAACGAGGAGGAGGAGGAAGAAAAGCTAGCGAGCATCTCTCTTTTCTCCCCTCCTCTCTCTTCTCCTCCTCCCCCTCCTGCATTGGATTGTGAGCTTTAGACAGCCAGCCAGCGACACAGAGCTCTCTGCTCAAAGTAAAAGGATCTGAGCCTGCTGCACGGAGATTTCCCTCCTATTACAGGATCTATAGAGACAACCATCGCCTGCCCTATCTCTGCGTGCCTAGAGCCGTCTCCTTAGCATCACACCAGCGGTATGTGGTCACCTGAACTAACGGATTCAAATATGCAGGAGGCGTCCAGGACTGAAACTACTCTTTTTGCAAGGTAAGTGCCTTGTTTATTGGAAGTTGCGGGGTTTTTGTTTTTTTTATGCTGTTGACTATTTATGCATTTCTTCTCCGCTTTAGTTGAAACCCTTAATAGACTTTCTTCCCCTCCCTCCTCCACATTTTACTCTTTCAGAGAGAAATACAAAGGAACCCCTGTGTGCTCCCGGCTTCTCACCACCTCCACCAAATCCTCATTAATCTAAAACATTTTTATTTATTTTTTTGCAGGACACTCACTCAGATGGGTGTTTTACTCAGCTAAAACAAAAACATAAAAGCAGTATGTTTGTATAATCCGATTCTCGGGGTTTTCAGTGCAAAAAATAAAACAGCACACTTTCTCTGTGTTTGGGAGCCAATTACATGAGACGCCGGGCTGCCTTTTTAACCTGCTTCCAATAGCTGGATTACAGCAAAATGCCACTATATGTCACATTGGGAGCTAAAAGCCACCGAGCAAGAAGGCTGAATGAGAATATCGCAAACAGTTATTGAATTTCTGCCAGACTACATTTTAAGGACTGTGGCAAATGACTTATAGACACACATGCACACAAGCACACACACACACACACACACACACACACACACACAACCCTGACAGTCAGAAAGGCCAGTAGGGAATGTCTGTTGCAGCTGGAACTGACATATGCGAGGTAAAAAGGACAGCATTAACCAGAAGAGGTCTAAGCTTCTGTGGTCATTCAAAGGATCACAACACAATGCCAGCAAGTGCATTTTTCACTGGAGAACACTATGAGTTCTGACCCTTTATCATATACCCTGTGCTGTTTCCCCCTGTCCCATAGAAAAGCTCAAAGGGGGTGGGGGGAAACCTTGGTTTCTAATAGTTCTGCCCCGTTTTGACCAGCAGTGCCATTTGGAATCAGCAAAACAGTCTGCTTGAGAATAAAGGCAGAAGACAACCTACCTATAAAGTAGGTAATGGAAACTGACTTGTCAGGCTAGCCTGTGTGTGTGTGTAAAACAGAAAGAGAAGGAGAGATTAATATATCTAATGTAAGCAAACACTTGCTACATCCCTTAACATAATACAGCCACTAAAGTACAACAGCAGAAATTATTATTATTATTATTAGGTTCCCATTAATATATCTGTTAAGAGGTATCACTTCACAATGAGGGAAAGAGAAATAGAAAATGACAGCAGCTGAATAATATGATAAAAATAGTTTTAAAAAAAATTTATTTGTTATAGACCTTATACAGTTTGTGGACACATGTTTTGAAACCAACTGAGGAGCCACACATCTCCTCAAATGGATCCCTCCTCTCCTCTCCTTCCCATGTAAAACACCGGAGGGAACTTCTTCTCCCATCCCCCTTCCCATTGCCAAAGCAGCTATTTTCCTGGACAACTCCAACCCGAAAGTTAATCTTGGTTCTGCAGTGTAAAATTGAAAGGGGGGGAAAGAAACCCAGCAGAAACGACAAGTCATCTTCTTCCTACCCGTCACTTTCTCATAAATATGTCAGGAAGTGGGGAGCTTAACAGTATGTTTGGCGAGAAGTCGATTAATTCAGTTGACCTTTCTAAATGATGGCAATAAAGCAGCCCCGGCAATATGCCACCACATTTGATTTTCCTTCAGATAATGAATGAGTTTTAAGGCAGCGTTCCTTTCCCTTCTCAGGCTAGGAAAGGTGGTGATGCATTTGCTCCTGTTACTGGCAAGCTTGCTTGTCATTCTTCAGAAGCTGCATAAAATCCAGTGGCGTGTGTGTGTGTGTGTGTGTGTTTTCTTTTTAAAAGAACCCTTGAGCCTGATTCATCACCCAGAAGCAAACAACCATTGCATGAAATCTACCTTGGCGAGCACATTTTCTCTCTTTCAAGGAGAGCTGCAACCCTCCTGCTTTCAGCTCATGCAAATATGTTACACTGCAGTAATGAAATAAATCATACTGCATCTTTGGTGATGTATTTAGTGCACCGCTTGAATGAAAGCAGGGTCAAGGGGAGTGGGGGTTGAATCTACGTACTCAGGACTTTTGTGGCTCATTTTTATGTGGTCAATAACATTCCAAGCTGCCTTTGGTCACTTTACGTCTAGGCTACCTTGTTCCACATAGCAGTGGTGTAGAAATAGGCAAATGGTGTGGTAGTATGCCGTAGAGCTTATCAAAATGCCATGTTTGTGAATATCACCCCTGCAAAAAAGAGCAAGGAGTCACACTCATGCATGTCCAAAGAACAATCAAGGTAGTTTTAGCCATGGCTATATACCAATGTTACAGGTGATCCTGTCTTGAACATGCTGCAAACCCTGTTGGAATAATGGGATAATATATAATGTTAAAGGACAACTACTTGCCTGCAAGCCTGTGAGTTTTAATTTTTTTCTCCCCAGAGAGTTGGTAGTGGTATCAGTACATTTGGAACAACCAGGGACATGTGCTTTGGAGAGGTATCTGTTTATTAAATTGCAGCCTATACAAACACACTAGGTAGGTAAGTACCCATTAATACCTCTCCTAGATGAAGCTGGTGTGATACCAGTGTACCACGCCAAAATTCTCTATTGAAAAGATTAAAAAGATGGTCTCATTGTTGAGATATGTATGAAATTCATGCTGGAGCTGTTAACTGAGGTGAGCTTGTCAAAATGCTGTGTTCATGAATATCACCCCTGCAAGGAGGAAGAGAGGGAGTGCTACTGGTTCATGCCAGCAAATCACTCATTTTTCATCAGGCATATGGATGTAACCCAATCTTTGGACTTGAATTACAGTCAATTACAAACCCACATGCTTTCCCCCAACCAGCTCCTGACTAATACATAGTAGTAAACATCTGTTGCCACAACCAGAAAGGCTGCTGCAACTTTTGGACAGAGTATGCACATACAAGCTCATTCAATAGCTAACTTTAGTGCTAACTCTTGCGAGAGAAGAAGATAAGACAAGCTTGTGTTTTAAAAAAGCAAAAATAATATTATCCAATAAGTGGCAACTGATAAACCCTATGGTTTTCCTTTCCGGCATCATAAAAAAATACAGATTAGGCAAGTTAAAGCAGCAATTTTGGGAATTCTTCATTTAATGGCAACTTTTGGTGCTGAAAAACAGATCAAAAACTTTTTACCCCACTGTCAGAAGCAGATTGTTTGCAAATTAAACTTTTCTAAAATGTGACAAGAAAAAACTGGCACAATTTATAAAGTGTTTTGCACAAACATGTTCAAAAAGAGAGAGCTTGTAAGAGACATTTAAATATGTTGGAACAATAATATTAATCTAATACTACAACTTAATGAAAACCAGAACTAACTCAAGGTAATACAGAATGCAATCACCCTAGCTGAGGAGAAATCACAGTAACACAGAAAAGTTCAATTATAGCAAGGTCAAATTCATCTTGAAAAGAGGAAATGCTGGCCTGTGCAATTTGAAAAAGTAATCTGATATGTTTATACTGATTAGAGATCAGAACTGCTTTTTGTAAGGTTTGGCCAATGAGAAAACATCATTTATGCCATTCTTTGTCTGCAAGCTGATGCATTAGTCAACAGATGGATGATTTTGCTCCTCCTTTCTGGGTTACACTAGGTGTTGCTCTAGACATTGAGAGCATAGAAACATGATCTCAGTCGTGGTGTAGTACAAACCAAGTCCCATCAGACCTTAATCAGTGCCATACTGGAGTGATTTAGAATAGTTTTCTCATTCCCTGGAGAGAATTTCTAGGCCTTTTAGGTTGGCACACAATCAGCAACCACTCTGCCAGTTACAAAATAAGACAAACAAAGCTCCATCTGTGTCTAGTAGCAACCTCCTTGAAACCTTAGCTAACTAGGATTTGAATGCTCTGACATCTTTTCCCAACAAACATGAATGCTATAATCCCATTTATTATAGGAAACTATAAGAAATAACAAGAGCAGTAAGCGTGTTTGTAGGCTGTCCCACAGCAGACTGCAAGTAGATGCTTAGATAATTAAAACGTTCCACCTTAAAAAAAAAACCCTTCAAAGAGAAAAGTAGTCATCAAGGAAAAGGACTCTAGCAGAACCTTCTTCCTGACATGCCACTTTCCTATGGGTGGCTGTATTTTTATTTTTATTTTATCTAGAATAACACTATATCACATGAGCTCTCAATTTAGAACACTGTAGCCCAGCGGCAGATTTGCCATCTCCCCCCAAATGTAACCATATTCATATAATTGCACACCTTTAAATTTGCAATGTCCCTTTCTCCATCTACACAGAGGTGCTTCTTTCCATACTCTGTGGTTTATACTACCACACAGTGTTAGTTTTAGGTTTCAGAAGGCCCTTGGGCAAAGTGTTCTTGGTGGGACCCCTTCCTCCAGGTGACCCCTACCTCTTCTTCCTTACATGAGTGGACCCACCTGAGTGGGATTGGCAGCAGTCTCCCAGCTGGCACAGGAGCCTTGGCAGGCAACTGGTAATGGCAGCTTCGGGTGCTTGCCTGGATCAGACACATGCATGATAACCACCTGTAGCCCACCTAGACTCCTATCCCTCTATGTCAGGGTTTCCCAAATTTGGGTCTCCAGCTGTTCTTGGACTACAACTCCCATCATCCCTAACCAGCAGGACCAGTGGTTAGGGATGATGGGAATTGTAGTCCAAAAGCATCTGGAGACCCAAGTTTGGGAAACTCTACTCTACATGGGCAGGTTATGTGCGCATTCTCCATAAGGTGTAGTGACTGTACACTATGCCCAGTTCTTATGCATATTATTGTTATTATTTATTAAAATTCTGTACCACCCGTCATCTGAAGATCACATGGTGGTTTACAAGATAAAAACAAAAAATGAATACAATAATAATGAACAAAAACAATACACACACACACCAAAGTTTAAAAGGCCATATATATTTTTTTAATTAGCCAAAGGCCTAGTTATAGAGAAAAGTTTTCACCTGCCACCTAAGGAGATACAGTATAATGAAGGCACCAGGTGAGCCTCCCTGGGGAGAGCATTCCGCAAGCCAAGAGCCACCACACAAAAGGCCCATTCTCATGTTGTACTGCCGCCCCCAAAACCTCTTTAGGAGAACGCCCTCTAAGAAGGACCTCAGATGATGATTTCAGATCCAGGTCAGTTTGTATGGGCATAGGTGGTCCTTGAGGTATTGTGGTCCTGAGCCATTTAAGCTTTATGGGTCGAAACCAGCACTTTGAATTGGGCCTGGAAACAATTTGCCAGCCAATGCAGTTGGGCCAGGATTGGTGTCATATGCTCAAACTGTCTTGCCTCACTGAGCATCCTGACCACTGAAATCTGCAGAAGTTTCTTCAGAGGCAGCCCTATGTATAACATATTGCAGTAATCTAATCTAGAGGTTACGAGAGCATACACACCAGC